TATCTAGAGAGAGAGAGAGAGAGAGAGATATATATATATATATATATATATATATACATATATATATATATATACCATTATTCGGCGCTCTGTACGAATCGAGCAAAAACGCTGACCAAAACTGACAGGGAACCATATCGGAGTGATCGGAAGCAGTACACGCCACGGCAAATGCATCTCCACGCACCAACACAACCAAAACACTAGCAAAACAGGAGAAGACCTCTTACTTTGTGAGCCCCTCAGATTTTAGGTTCCCTCCCCGTAAAATCCTTGCATTCAGACCATTAAATGCTAAGATTCTAATATACGCAATTGTATACGGGAATCCATCTTAATATGCGCAGCCCTAGAAAACTGTTCTGCCTACGCACTTACATGAAGCTCGTTCATTTTTTTCCAGATCATGGTGGATCCTGCCACTTTGAGGCTTACTATTTCGGAGAAAACATGGCAAAATGTACTTAAATTAGCTGCTAAATACCATCAAAATAAATCACAAACTTGATTCCCAGCTTATATACGGCTAGCCGGCTACTCCATGTGATCAGCTAAAAGCTGATAACTAATGCAGATTTGTTGTTTTGGCTGTTTAAAAAAAGAATTAAAAGTCATGTAATAGCATAAGAATTGTCACAAATTCAATACTCGACGTCTCGTCAGTGGGGATTCATGACGCACTCAGCTTCTGAGGCTATACGGCGTCGCCTGCCTCTCACCCTGGCAGGAAGGGCGAGTACCGCAGGAATTCGAACCCAGTACCTATTGGTTAACGCAGACGCTTTAACCAATACACTACCGGCACCCCTTCAATACCCAACGAAAACAAGATGCACGACATCGGCGACGCGTAAAATTATGTTCGACAGTTACACGTACAAATTCATCGGTGCATAACCGACTGCTGCTCCAGCACTTAGGTGGCAAGGAAAATCGCCATCCAGCGAACTCGGACTTTTGTACACGACGGAATATAGTCAGGCCCGTGCACACAATCATGCGAAACGCACTGGCGCTCGCGAACACACGTGGGGCTTTGGGCAGCAGAATAACATCCTTTTGGCTTCATCGGAAGAGCCCACGACCAATGTGGAGGACCCCATAGCGATGAAGAGTATCACGGCTGATAAATATTTAGGTCCGGGGCAGTGGTGATATCGTGGTTGGCGTGATCGACTCTGGACCTGTCAGTCTAGGTTTCGGGCACTGACAACGCCACCACCGCGTCCTGCATGAAAAGGCATCCGTCTCGAAATGTGCGCAGCCGCCGCGGCTGCACTGCACCGCCTCTCTCACACAACAGACCGTTTGAAAATGAGCTCCTTGCCTATGGACGTGAAGCCCTCGACGGCGCCACCAGCCTCATCCGTCACGCCAAAATGCTTCTGCATGAAGCCAGGGTCGGCACAAGCGGCGGCGGCGAGAGATTCCGCCTCGGCCGGGACCCCGCGGACGCGGTGGTCCCGGCCGAGCCCAAGCCGGCCGCCATGTCTCCAGCCGCGGCGCCGCCCGGCACGCCCGCGGTCACTCCGCCGGCGAGCCCCAGGGCGCGGGCGCGCCCAAGCCGCACACGGCCGCTAAATGCTCTACGTAATTGGTAGCAACCATGTTGCGTTGTACCCATCACATAAACATCGGTGGAATGCCAGGTTGCCCACGCCATCTGTTGACAAAAGAGGGAAATGGTGGCGGGAGTTATAAACAAATATGCTACTTCATTGCCGTTTAGCGACAGGAATCAAAACTCACATGACTAGCGAAAACACTAGATGCTATGAACGCTGGATTAGATACGACTTTGGGTGTTGTGCGCTCGAATGCTATGAACGGCCCCAATGGGTACGGAACTGGACGCTGGATGTTGCGCTCTTGGATGATGAGCACTGGACGCTGCAATCCTGGACGTTTTGATGGCTCCCTTTGGCTCCCAACGGTACCATTGGTGGAGGTCCCAAGTCTTATTTTTGCTTTCACCTTTGTGCATGCAATACCAACGTTGAGACAAAGAAGAACCGGAAAGTGGTCACTGAGTACGAGGAAAGTACTACAGGGCGTAAAATTGTGAAATAACTGTCGGTTCTTATTAGGACAAACAGTACGGGAATACAGGCAGGATTCTGTGTCCTGTCAGCGTGGGTGTGAGGTGAGGCAGACTACGTCAGCATGGCAGATCTAGACATCAGATCATCAGCAAGAAACTATTTGCATCTTGACTTTGCCGCCATACATCTTGGCTTTTGAAAAACGCCTAGGCCAAAATGGCAGCAACAAGTCGCCATGACGTTCCTGCAGGAAGACGTCATGCCATCGCGCTACACAGATACTAGATCATATACTGTGCGCCATCAAACCCGAAGAAGCGTTGGTAATAAACACCGTCAGCTGCACAGAACATTTCACTCAAGATGCCAGCGATACTGTGGCCGATCTCAAAAGCAATGTAGCACACAACTCCGTCCATCCCGAGATGTCGACATTCATTTGCCGTGAGCTGCACAGGGATCGCAAGGCGTGCACCAGCACTCCGCCATCTAGATGCTTGTCCGAGTTGCCCGCGGCGCCTGATGCGGCTGGCGGCGTCGCGACCAGCCACCAGTGCGAATCGACGGATCACCTGTAAATCCATTCTGCATGCTACAAACTTAATGATGCTCTTAGCGCAGCTTTCGTAGTTAACCTTAAAAATGGTTTGATGCTCCTCAAACTAGATCATAGCCGTTTTCACGAAAATTGTGGTGGAACTTTTACACTTAAAAAATAACTTTCTGCGTTTCCGTTTTAACCACACACCTTCTATCAGCAATTTTGGGCTAGAACTGTCCGCAGATATTCTTTAAAAAAATGTTTGAACAGATGCTTAAGTTGCCCAAATTGCGGTTGGTTGGCTGCAAACGATTTCATGCTTTTATGGACAGGTATGATGCCAGGTTTCATTCTGCAAAAATTCTTGAAACTTATTAAAAACATTCGACGACATCTCTGACGCAGACGCGACAAAACAAACTCGTACATCCTTGCAGCGCCCCTGTTCATCAGCATGCAGCACTTACAGAGCTTACTTACAGTACTTACAGAGCTCGCTTACAGCGCTTACAGAGCTTACACACCTTAGCATGATCCAAGATAAATGATCCTTGAATGACATGATTCTCAACGCCAGCCTTACTCCGCGCAGTGCCGATGTAAACAGTACTGGGGTAGCCGGCATGCAACGCTCTCGACCGATGCACGCATTGCTAGGCCTAGTATTTTCCTAGAATCGGGCTGAGCTAAAGACATGCGCTGAAAAATGGCTATAAAGTGTCACGTTTAATAAAACAAACTTATGCTCAGTTGGAAACATGCCGCATACCCACTGCATGTTTGTGGAAATGCGTGAAAACGAGCCTTTCCCTGTTTTCCTTGCCAGCGAGCTAAAAATTCACATAAACATCTAACAACATTTTTAAAGCTTTCCAGTGCATTACCCATCGTAAAAACTGCTTACGTAAGAATTAAGACCATTCTGACGCCACATGTACCCGATTAGAGGGAAGGTTCCACCTTTGAAGATACTGAAGCAAGCAGCAGATATGATGAAATAAAGTCACTTATGACCACTGATAAGCCGTTAAGTGGAAAAGACTGCTCTAGACAACACACTTTCCCTGCTTTGTAAAAATGCTCCTCAATACGTCACTGTTGATTACGTCCTTGTAACTTGCGCAACATTGGCTGATTCCGGTCGTTATAACTAGAAATCGTGCTCATTGACGTCAGATATGAACGAAACGCCCATCACATTTTTCTTTGCCTTGATCGCTGCATGGCCAATGGAATGGCAGGATTTAAATGACGTTATTATGGCGCCATGGATGCCTGGGTGGTCCGGAAATAGTCTCCACAAAACAGTCTGCACGTCCTTGCGGGCGTGTAGCTCGGAAACTAGAGTGGTTTCCGTCGTAAAAAGGACAAGGCTGTAAATTGCACCAAATGATCTTCAAAATGGCTACTTCAGTTCAAAAACCTCATTCAAACGTGGAATAAACCCTTTAAGTGAAGGCCCTGAAAACGATGCGGCCGCTCAATGGAAAGTTGAGGCCATATTCTTCACCTAGATCTTTGAAGCATTCAACCAACAATGCTTAAAAGGTTCGCATTACCAAGATACACAAAGGGACTACCGTTACATACAATGACATCACATTATTCACGGGCAAAAGGTTTAGAATCGTGTTTCCTGAACAACGCTGACAGTGGCATCTGGTCGTCTGCTTCTAATTCGTTCCCTTTGCACCTCACACTGGCCGCTTCTGGGCTGCGGCTGGCGTCAGCCGTCGCAGCCCAGCCCTGCCAAGCGCCGCAGTCTCGGTCTGGGAGTCAGCTGTCGCTGCCCAGCCCTGCCCGGCGCCGCAGTCTCGGTCTGGGAGTCGGCCGTCGCGGCCCAGTCCTGCCCGGCGCCGCAGTCTCGGTCTGGGAGTCAGCCGTCGCGGCCCAGTCCTGCCCGGCGCCGCAGTCTCGGTCTGGGAGTCAGCTGCGCGGCCCGGTCCCGCCCGGCGCCGCAGTCTCGGTCTGGGAGTCAGCTGTCGCGGCCCGGTCCCGCCCGGCGGCGCTGTCTCGGTCTGGGAGTCAGCCGTCGCGGCCCGGTCCCGCCCGGCGGCGCGGCCTGGGACGCGCCTGGTCGAGCCAGTGCGCCGGCGGTTGATTTGCACGGGTCCGGCGCGGCGGCCGGACACGGCACCAATCGCCGGCCAGCAATCAGACGCCAGACGGCGGCGGCAGCCGGTCGTGCCGCCGCCACCACGGCCACCCGGCCGGGCCTTGTCCGGCCTGCCCGGCTGCCAGCGTCACGACCGTCCGTGGTTCAGCTCCACGGTCTCCTCCCGGCTGCGCAGCTGAACTCCGTGTGGCGCCAGTCCCCTCACGTCCCTCAGGCCCACCTCGAGCCGGTCCCCTGTGTCCCCTTCACATTAGACCCGCCTCGAGCCGGCGCCCCGTGTCCCCATCCCCTTCAGACCTACCTTGAGCCGGTCAGCCTCGTAGGAGCGTCGCTCCGACTCCTCCACAACCCTGGCGGCGATCATCTCGGCCTCGCGCACCTTCCGCTCCAGCAGGTACTTCTCCTCCTCCGTCTGCCGGCCGACGAGCGCGTCAGGACGTGCACTTGTCCGGACACGAGCGTGCATCAGGACGAGCGCGCGTCAGGACGGGCGTGCGTCAGGACGAGCCCGCGTCAGGACGAGCGTGCGTCAGGACACGAGCGCGCGTCAGGACAAGCGCGCGTCAGACGGGCGTGTGTCAGGACGAGCCCACGTCAGGACGAGCGTGCGTCAGGACACGAGCGCGCGTCAGGACAAGCGCGCGTCAGGACCGGCGTGCGTCAGGACGAGCCCGCGGCAGGAAGAGCGTGCGTCAGGACATGAGCGCGCGTCAGGACACGAGCGCGTCAGGACGGGCGTGCGTCAGGACGAGCCCGCGTCAGGACAAGCGTGCGTCAGGACACAAGCGCGCGTCAGGACGAGCGCGCATCAGGACGGGGTGCGTCAGGACGAGCCGGCGTCAGTACGAGCGTGCGTCAGGACACGAGCGCGCGTCAGGACGGGCGTGCGTCAGGACGAGCCCGCGTCAGGACGATGCGTGCGTCAGGACACAAGCGCGCGTCAGGACGAGCGCGCGTCAGGGCGGGCGTGCGTCAGGACGAGCCCGCGTCAGGACGAGCGTGCGTCAGGACACGAGCGCGCGTCAGGACACGAGCGCGCGTCAGGACGAGCGCGCGTCAGGACGGGTGTGTGCCAGGACGAGCGCGCGTCAGGACGGGCGTGCCTCAGGACGAGCCCGCGTCAGGACGAGCGTGCGTCAAGACACGAGCGCGCGTCAGGACGAGCCCGCGTCAGGACACGAGCGCGCGTCAGGACACGAGAGCGCGGCAGGACGATCGCGCGTCAGGACGAGCCCGCGTCAGGACGAGCGTGAGTCAGGACACGAGCGCGCGTCAGGACGAGCGTGTGTCCAGACGAGCGCGCGTGAACACCACATCAGCCGGGGTCGGCCGCCCTGACGTCCGTAAATAGCCGGCCGCCTGCAGCGGAGCGCACGAGGCGGCCGCTCCGGCTGGCAGTGTCAGCCAGGTTCATCCCCCGGGCGGCACACTGAATGACGCGGACCGAGGCCAGGCGATGTATCACTCCCAGAACCAATGGCAAGTTTTTCTTCCTACAAAACGCAATCAGCCCGCACTGATCGCAGAGCAGCGAAGGCTGCTCTCTTTTGCTGACCAAAGCCGCGAGGTCGGAGGTGGGAGAAAAAAACATGTCTCAAACCACACCAAAGCCAGACGCGTGCACACAACCTAAAAACAAAACATATTGTGGCGCATACTACAGCAATCGATCATTACTGCAAAGAACATCCGGCGGCTTCACATCTATGGCGCCAATTGGCAACATGCTGCATCGAGCGCAGCGGTAGAACCTTTCGCTTACAAGCTTTCTCGGACCCAAAAGTGTGCAGGCTCGAGACTTACCGAATGCTTTATTTGACATTCCTGGCTTCAAGCGTGGAAAAACAAACCTAATATCTCGCCTCTAACGGTTAAAGCCTATGCGCACTTTTATGAAGCCGGCCGAACTGGCTTCTCGCCACATTTGTCGCACGGTTTATGTTTGGTCGCTGCCACCGTGCATGGTTTCCAAGAGGGGCATCACCCAGTCAATATCTCTTATGCACAAATATCAACACGAAAGTTCCAGGCAACACCAGCGAAGCAAAGTAGGTCCTTAGTCCTCAAACAGCGTAGATGACTGTGCATATCGCGAAGGCCCTGAATCTGGCGCGTTTTGTCGCGACAAGGCCAGGGCAAGGCGCAGGACGTGGGCGGTGCGCTCCAGATGAGCGCAGACGTCTGGTCATGGTAAAAGCGAATCACGCTTCTGGCGTGAACCCCAGAAATGCACCATAGTTTTGATTGCGACGGTCGTACAGAGTTCAGTCAGCTTTTTCGCTCGATTAGCTGATCAAAAAGATACGGCCTGGGATTTCCGCCGGAGTACCAACTACAGCGATCCCACGACAGCCGACACTTGGTGACGAACGGTGCCACCACGGCTGAAGTTACGGCCAATGGGCAGGGACGCTGCGTCACCCTGTTGCGTGACACCATTTTGAGACTGTTTGATCGTGAGCGCGCCACAAGGAATCCTTCACCATAGACCAGTGTTGTTGTCACAAAAGCATTTTGTCTTAAAAAATGGAGCGTGACGGGCATCGTCAAGACCCTTTTATGGAGCGCCAGCGACTGCAGTGGCCATATTAGAGCTCCGGGTCAATGAAACAGCTGGGATTCAGGCCCGGCCTCCACGTGGGGGCCGGAGGCGCCGACCACACGCCCGGTTTCATGCCGCAGTGATAGTTTTTCACCTTTGCTTTTTCGAGGCCAGCTGACCTGCCAAAGATTTATCAGCTGACACACTATTGTGCAGCATTATGCGATTCACCAGCTAGCAACAGCCTGTGGGCGGTACT